TTTTCTCTTTCATGAGTATCAACACAGAAGTGGGTGACATAGTGAAGGTGATCTGATAGGAAGGTACATTAGAAGAGCATTAGAAGTCTAATGGAAGGGAAACATTATCTCATCTGATCTAAGAAAAATCCAGCCATGATACGAAAATTAAACAGAATATGATTCTCCTCTGAGGAGTTATTCAGGTGATCCCCAGGTGTGGGTCTGTGCTGGTTTTGGCTGTGACAGAGTTTATTTCTTTCATAGTAGCAAGTATGGGGCTGTGTTTTGGATTTGTGTTGGAAACACTGTTGATAATACAGGGATGTTTTAGTTATTGCTGAGCAGTACTTACGCAGAGTCAAGGCCTTTTCTGCTTCTCACACCACCCTGCTGGTGAGTAGGTTGGAGGTGAACAAAAAGTTGAGAGGGGACACAGCTGGGACATCTGGACCCAACTCACCAAAGGCATATTCCATACTATATGATGTCATGCTCAGCAATAAAAGTAGGGGGAAGGTTGGTGGGAGGGACGCTGCTCAGGGACTGGCTGGGCGTCAGTCGGTTGGTGGTGAGCAATTGTTTTCATCTGCATCACTTGTCTTTCTTGGGTTGTGTTTTTCTCTCTGTTATTTTTTTCCCTTTTCTTTATAACAACAACAACAATTATTATTAGTGTTGTTATTATTATTATTTTAAAAATTGTTAGACTGTTTTTATCTCAACCCATGAGTTTTCTTATTTTTACACTTCTGATTCTTTCCCCCATCCCGCGGGAGGGTGGGGAGTGAATGAGCAGCTGTGCGGGGTTAAACCCGACAGGTCTCAGGATTTTACCTTGCCTTCTCTTACAGATTGCTCGTCCAGCCCTTTTTGATCAGCATGTGGTGAATTCCATGGTGTCGGATATTGAGAAAGTTGATTTGAATAGCATTGGGTCTCAGGCACTCCTCGCGGTCTCAGGGAGCACAGACTCTGATGGGGAGGTCTACAGTGAATGTAAGTCCATGGTGATATATTTGTATCATCAAAAGTAACTCCCCCTTTCATTCCATGCCACACTAGTCTACTTGGAGATGGACTGAGAAAAGGCACATGTGGGCACTGCATTGTCTAATCGAGCTCAGTGTTAACTTCAGTAGCTTAAGAAAACCAATTGGTTGCCCTATCATGTCCTACAAGAACAGAAGCTTGAGCTGGGAAGTCATTTCAGCTAGATGGCTTTAAAGGGTTGCTGAAAAAATCATTTACATGTCAGTTGCTAAGTGTAATAAAATCTCTTTTGAAGTTTTGTCCTCATCATAAGGGGAATATTAGCACAGATGAATTCTGGAAAGATATCTCAAAAATTCCATATCATTATGGCGTAACTTAATGGATATTTAAGCTAGTTTACCTTTTTTGGTATGAATAGATTATTATTTTTTTCTGAAAGTTGATCTTTGAAAAAATACTTAATTTTCTATAGAGTGTAACAGCTATTTTAATACACAGAGTAGAGTGGAATACAGTAAAAATTTTGAGTGTGTTAATTTTCATATACATACCTGTTGTTGAAAAAAGATACAGCCATTTTCTCTATTAAAATGATAACTTTTGTCATAGGAACTATGTTGATCAGAGTTTGGAGAGCTGAAAGGAGAGCAATAGCAATGTGTTGTCCTCTAAATATTGTTACTTTGATCATGAAAGTTTGTTCTCTTTAATGGTTTACAATCCTATTCACATTTTCATTTGAGTTGTCCATTTCCTACTTTTTGTGTAATTGTTTTCTATTTTGTTCTTTGTCTTTTTTCACACTGGTTCAAAAAAGAAAAGGGGAAGAGAAATAACTGGTCATTCAGGCACCTTTTTGAAAGTGGGAATTGAGGAAGTGAGCTTTGCATTATATTGTGAGAAACTTGTAAAATATAAGGAAAACTTAAGATAGTATACAAGTCTGCCACATTGTAGATAAAGCTTTACTTACTAAACTTAGTAATAGAAGAATTTTCAAGGCTGAATCTGAAAAGGAATGGAAAATAGCAGATTTTTTTTTATTGCTTTTATTTTCTTGTAAAACTTCATTGTCTTATAACTTGTATCGTTGTAATGCTTAGATAGTTCAAATATGTATGTGTGATGGATGTGTGGCTGCTTGCTTTGCTAGGGAATTGCTTATTTCTTCACTGCTCTAATTCTTTGCTTTTCCTTTCCATGCTACAATATTGTCATATGGCTGGTGAGTGGCTTTTTCTCACATTCAGAATAGCGTGCAATGATATGTTCTCCTTTTTACATGGTAGATGACTCTATTACAGTGTTCCAAGAACTGAAGGACCTTCTAAAGAAGAATGCCACTGTGGAATCATTTATTGAATGGTTGGATACTGTGGTTGAGCAAAGGGTTATCAAGGTACCTTTCAAATGTTCTGCCTGACTCAAGACCAAATCCTACTCCCCTTACTCCTTACACAGTCCCTTACTTATGCAGTCCCAGTGGTTTCCCACATGGGATGCTTGTCTCTGCTCCCATCTCCTTACTGTAACAGGGGAGTTCTTCATTTGGTGTGAAAGCTTCCAGTGCTATTAGTTCTAATTAATCATGTTGGGTGCTGTAGAACAGTCTTATGTTTGTGACAAACTAAGAAGTATCTTAACTAAAACATTAAAGTCAGCACTGTCATAAACTGTACATAAAAGAAACACATCCATCTTATCTGTGCATGCAGAATCAGAGGGGTATTGCTCAGTGAGTAAGGTGAGCAAAAGTTGTTCCTTAGAGAAGCAGTCCTTTCTTTCATGGTATTCAGATGGTACTGTGTGTGGTATAAATTAGTGTAGCAGAAGGATTCAGAAGTAGCTAATCTGTAGAAGGATTTCTACAGACCAGGATAGAAGATACAGTTTTGTAGCTTTATAAGGTGCTTAATGCAGTAATTGATAGTTTTGGTAGGATTTCCTCCCCTCCCCCCCGATTTACAAGATGCTTTATAATCACAAGTATTTTATATACACATAGTTATACAGAAATGATTATACTATAGCTCGGAACAAAATAATTGAGTTCTGAGTTATAGCTCAAGTAAGAGATATTTATGCAATATATGACTCTAACGAGTGTAAACTAGCAGAATAAAATGTTACACATTGCTTGCTAGTAACTGAACACTGATCTCATCAAGTCTTGTTCTATCTGGAAATGCAGTATCTTACCCATCATTTTAGGGAGTGTCTTGATATGAATGGATGCAAGAGGAGGAAACAGTGCAGTTAGCTTTGACTGACTTGCAGAAAAGTGACTCTGCACTTACAGAATAACCATGGGCATGTCATTTTTCCTTTCTTCACCTGTTTTTCCAAATTTCAATAAAGACAGTAATAATTTCTTTGTTTTTAAAACATTCTGAGTTTCCTAACATTTGCTGTTGTGAGCAGCACAGTGAGGAGCTTTGGGTGATTCTGGGCAGCAGACCCAAAGCAAGTCCTCATACACACTTTCCTAGACACAAAACTCCCACTGAAGCTGAGCGATCGCAACTTATTTTGGAACCGAATGATTATGGTCTAAAATTGATTCCACAGTTTCAGAAGACAATTCCAGATAAACTAGCCAGGCAGAAAAGGTGAAGCACTCTCCCATGCAGCATCTACTATTTAGATGCTGTGTTATTAAAGTTAAAAGGTATGGTTCCTAGCATTGTTTTCCTGTAGTTAAGGGTACGAAATACCAACAACTCCTGATAGGAGGCTAGGTCAACTCCGCAGAAGCTAATAATTTACAGGGCATTTAATCCTTACATTGCTGTCTGCCTTCTGTTCATGCTAAAGTGTGGTTACTGTCAAACTTGCACAGCAGCTTTCTGCTTGCTGTTTGAGAAAGCAACAAGGCATATGTTACCACACGAACAAATCACTGCCAGAGCAAAATGACAGTATGAAATGAGCAGCATTAAAAGCATCAATGTTATGATAGTAAACATGCCATTTTATAAAGAGAAAGTCTGGCCAGTATAATACAGATGACAGTAAAGTACGAAGACTAGTTTCTGGTCCCTGCTTGTGTGCAATAACATAGTGCCAGAGGGTGGTGGGTTTTTTTCTTTCTTTCTGCCCTGTACACCTATATATTTACAGACCAATTTGACACCTTTAATACTAGAATATGAGATAACTTGTATACCTTCAGGACACAGCAGAACACAAGCAGTGAGCAGTTTGCTTCATCTGACGTTGTCAGAGCTCTACTCTGGTTGCACTGAAAAGAATGAATGCTGCTCTTTATCACTTTAGAACACATATCATGAAGACAGTTTGAATCAGGCAGCTTGATCCACCCTGCCACATCAGCCTGTGTCAAGGACTCCTTGAACTCTCAGGCTAATTCAGTTCTCCTTTCTTCTCTCCTGCGTGCAGAAAGCAAGTTCCATGCTTAACAGTATTTTACTATTCTCTTTCAGGCAAGCAAGCAAAATGGGAGGTCATTAAAGAAGAGAGCTCAAGACTTCCTTCTCAAATGGAGTTTTTTCGGTGCTCGGGTGATGCATAACCTAACTCTAAACAACGCATCAAGTTTTGGTACCTGGGCTTTGTAAAAACACTTGTATTTTGTAATTATGTGCCAGCACTTACCAGCTTTCCACCATTTCCTGAGCAGAGGAACCTATCCTAGTCTAAAGATTCTTTGATCAAAGCCACAAATGCTGTGTAATGTGTTTTTCAAACTAACATTTCACAGTAAATGCTAGCAATATTTTGTTGGTGACCTGTGTCACACGTTCATTTTTAAAAGGAATTTTTCTTGTGAATTGCTATTTGATACTGCTTTGCCATTTAAGAGTTAGAAACTCTGGTTTGATATAGCAATGGAAGTGTAACTGCATATCTCAGTATAGGAGACAGAAGTTTTAAATTATTCATTTTACATGTGGATCAGTTTGGTAGAAAATTACTGCTGTATAGAAGTTCTTGTGCATGGTATGTTTCCATAAATGCAAAACGAAATTGGCAGATCACTACTGATTTAATTCTGGGGTCAGCAGACAGTCAATTCAACAGTGTGTGTAGCTTTTAAAAATTAAGGTTCATATGTCCATCTTTAGAAATGTCTACATTTTTGGAGACTCTCAAAAAGAACCTTTTATGAAATAGAAGATGGTAGAGCAAGTGAAACTCACATTAAATCTTGTACATAATTTCCAAAATTTAGTTGTAGGTACGTTGTTATCTAAAATTCAGAGGGTATTTGAAATGGCTGTAGGGAGAGACACGTTTTTAATGTGATATATCCTTGAAATAAGGTCAAAGACTTCAGCAGTTATTGTCTGGTTATTTAGCACAGGGCAAACAGAAATAGAGCAGAGGCATTCTAGCAGACTTTGGCCTTATCTAGCTCCACTGTGTGCCCTCTTCAAGTATAAAGCATGTCTCACTTTCATCAGTATTTTTCTTTGATGTAATTAGTGGTCAAATAGCCTACAGGACAGTAAACAATTGAGCTAGGTGGGCCAGTGCAAAGAGAGATTAGAGCTAGAAGTTAGGCACTATTCCTTGTTGGTCTTGCCAGGTCATTTAAAGTCCACAATTATTTGTTTGTTTCACTTGCTTCTTGTAGAGTGGTGAGAGATGGTCACAAAGATAACTCAGCTACTCTCTCTCTTTCTCCTCCGAAAGGTTCTTTTCATTTGATCCGCATGCTACTAGATGAGTACATCCTGCTTGCCATGGAGACACAATTCAACAATGACAAAGAACAAGAACTCCAGAATCTGCTGGACAAATACATGAAGAATTTAGGTAACTAGAGCTTGGTTCTTTTGAATGTTCTCCTGTATTTTTAGAAATTGACATATTTGTTTATCTTTAAACAGAAGCGAGTTTATTGTCTTCTCCTGAAGGTGTAGTTATATGCAACATTGCCAAATTCACCTGAAAAGCTTGTGACCATTCATTCAGCAATTCATTCCCACCTTCCTACTATAGGTCACTTAATAATGTTTTGTGGGAATGTGAATACATTGCATCACTGAAATGATCTTGGATGCGACAAACACTTGTAGGTACATCTGAAGGGCCACAAGCTGAAGTATGAAAAGAGGTATAAGTAGCAGAAAGGGCAGGAATTCCTAATCCAGTTTTTCTGCCAAAGTTTAAATAAGTAATTACATCTTGAACTAGGAATGTATGAAATGTTACTAAAAATGCAAATATCCCTGTAAGGTAGGAACACAAGTTTGGAACCCTGTTTAGTATCTGACTGAAGTATTACAATGTGCAAGAGAAACAAAATAAATTTAAAACCGTATCCTTAACATTTTCCATCTACCAGGCTTCTTCAAGGTTAGACAGTTTGAAGTCATATGCTCCAGATCCTTTGCTATAAAATGAATGAAGATTGATTTGGATCAAATTCTGGTCCAAGTTAATCCTAAATATCCATTGAAACTCAACTGGGTTCTGCTGAATTATTTTTTATTAACATTAGTACCAGCAATCAATCTTTAACTTTTTTGTTGTTTTAATGCTAAATCTGCACTTTGCTGCAAGAAACTTGCACAGAATTTTTCTGACAGTAGATGCTGCACTTTTTCTTTCAATTCAACCTTCAGCAAAAAAAGGTTGAATTGAAACTGTCATGTAACAGTTGCCCTATTCTTGGATACTTAGGTGAAGTACTTGAAACCATAAGGTAAAGTCATGGTTTCCACTGACTAACTACTGAGTATAACAAATGCTTTTCTGTAGATATCAGTATGAAAATAGAGTTCAAGCTATCTAAAATTCCCATTGTTAATTCTTTAGGATGAAGTGTCATGACCCCGATTCATCTTAGTGCAATTTACTTGACTTCACTGCTGACATTTTCTTCAAGGGAATAAATCTGATTCATACCTTCACTATGATGGTTTCAGTAAGGAGCTGATACTCTGTGATGTAGGTCAGGTCAGGGACTATGATACAAACAGTTCCATTGGAAAGATGAAGACTAGACCAATATTTGTATTCATTGGCTACATGCAAAATATGGAGGCTTCACTGGGTTTTAAAATAAGCAAGCAAAGATACGAACAAATCAGGCAGCTCATATGCTGTCTATATACTAGTGGTGAATTTATGTTCAATGAACATACATAACAGCCACCAAGAGTTTCCACTTACTCTTCCAGATGCAAGCAAAGCCACCTTTACCGCATCACCAAGCTCTTGCTTCCTAGCAAATCGTAACAAAGCTGCTCCTCTACCCAGTGACACTTCAGTCAAAAATGAGTGTCTAGCAGAGCAAACCTACGTGTCCTTGTCAACTAGCCAGTCCAGCAGTGTGTCTTCTGGTCTGAACCCCTTTGTCACAGAAGACACTGAGAATATGCAGCTGACAGGTATGTATCAGTTCTTCCAGTTTCTCCTTTTCTTATTTGCTTGTTAGTCTTTCAGTCCACAGTAACACATTGCTGTAGCAGGAGCAATCACAGAATCACAGAATGGTCAGGGTTGGAAGGCACCTCTGGAGATCATCTAGTCCAACCCCTCTGACAGAGCAGGGTCACCTACAGCAGGTAAATGACCATATGCATTTATAAAGACCTCTAGTTTCATGAACTCACCCTCTGTGCTGATTTACATAAGGCAGGAATTGTAGAGCCCTGTAATAGATCCTCTTGGAACAATGGTAAAACTGTCCTATACCTGTTGGCTTGGTGAGGTTCTTGTGAGAAAAGAGTGGGCAGTAACACCTGGAGCACCAGAGGCTTGTAACTGCTGGAATTTCCCACTGAATGTGTCAGTCTTCAAACTGGAGAATGAAAGTGGGAAGCTTTATGGCCTGAAGCAATGGATTAAGTGTGTTGGGGGGTGGGCAATGCATATCCTTTGTAAAGGTTTCAAATGGTAATGCACACTTCAGTAGGGGGTTAGTGTCTTAACAAGTCCACTCTATTCAGCAATACCAAAGTACAAGTGCTAATCATGGCTAATGATTATTTATTCCAGGTCAGATGGAGCTGTCTCAAAGCACTGGTCACCTGATGACTCCACCCATTTCACCAGCCATGGTCAGCAGAGGAAGCGTTATCAACCAGGGGCCAATGGCTGTGAGACCTCCAAGTGTAGGTCAAGTGCTATCCACGCATTCACAGTGCTCTTCCTACTCAGAACCCCTTTATCAGACTTTGTCACAAACTAATCAGAATTACTATGGAAACAATTCCAATTACCAGGCTATGTTCAGAACTCAGGCCCATTCCACTTCAGGAGTTTACCACCACAGAGCAGAGCACAGCCGATTCAATGCCTTGAGTGAACAGCAGTTCTCCAGAGACTACTTCAGCAACAGTTGTGCTGTGTCTCCGTACAATACCAGATCCCCTTCCAGCTATGGTCCCTCATCCATGTCTCAGGACACACACAATATGCAGTTTCTGAATACTGGGAGTTTCAATTTCTTGAGCAACTTGGTGTCTACGTGCCCAGGAGCAGCATATCCTGCTAATGCTTCCAACGGTATTAATATCTATTTTCTTTTTCCCTTCTGTTCCTCTTTCCTTGCTGGAGCAAAACACTTCACTGCCTTTTTCTACAGAAGATGTTTTTCAGGTCTTATTTATACCTTTCTGTTTTCCACCTCTCTGATGACACACAGAGATTATAAAGCAGCTTAAGAAGCTACTTAAAGATTTATTTTCCTCTGGTGAATCCTCAGCTGACCTCAAATGCATCTGATGCACCTATGCTAATCTTCCTTTGGCATCATCACCATGTCTTGCACAAAGGAAGCAAAACCAGGATAACCAGCAAAATCAGAAGGTTCTGATTTAACAATCTCTTGAAAAGCTCCCAAAACTATGAAATAGAGCAGCCATAAGATAGCTTACCTTGGGGATCAACGGAACGGACCATTCTAGTCACAGGGTCAGGATGGTGAAATGAAGTATAAAAATGTGCATTAGCATTAGTTTGAGACTTTGGCCCTAATCTTTCTCATCCTTCAAATGTAAAGTTATTGCCACAGTCTGCTTCAGAGATATAGTCAGCAAAATCTCCTCCCTCTTCTGGAGGAAAGACACAGTAGAAATGTTGCTTTTACGTGGATTTGTATATGCAGGAAGTACGTATCACCATGCAGATTTTCTTTCCAATTGTACTTTCCTTGATTGTGAGCTCCAGAAGGGAGCACTGAACCGTGGATAGGAGTCCCCGTGGTGTCTCTTATAGCCACTGATTGCAGGCTACTGTTTGATTCTGAACTTAGAAAGGAAGGGCAATTCTGAACTGAAGGCTTGACTCAACTCTTAGGATCTTTTTTCTCCCTTGTTACCACCCCTCTTTTGGGTCAGTCACTGCATATGTTACTAACGTTACTAGGTTGTATGTGTACATAAATAATCTTATTCTCAAGGGACTCAGTCAGTAAGAGTTACCTTTTGTCCCAGGTTATCACAGGCTCCTATCCTATGCTTTCTCTTCGACAGTATTTTCACTCTGCTTTTTTCTAATCTCCTGTCAATAGGATATTATGGAAACAATATAAATTATCCAGAATCTCACAGACTTGGAACAATGGTGGATCAACATGTTTCTGTAATCAGCAGTGTAAGCAGCATTCGATCATTGCCATCATACAGTGATATACACGATCCGCTGAATATCTTGGATGACAGCGGAAGAAAACAAACAGGCTCATACTACCCAGAGTCCTCACCTTCAATTGTCTGTCGGACTCCTATGCGTAAGTATAGCCAACGACTGAGGAAGAGCTATGAACTTTTTAGCATCCTAACAAGTACTGTAGCTCACATATGTATATGAGATGTATAGTTTCTAGAGATAAAATAGCTCGGTACCTAAGATGTGTTTTCCTTAAAATTTCAGGACAGTGGGTTTAATAACTCTTTGCTCCCATAAGGAGGGCCATGATCCATTGTCCATAAGGAGTGGAATGACTAGCCCGAATTGCAGAAAAATCCGTGTTAGGAAACACTTTCTAACTATTAAGTGAGCGAATAACAGACTGGGCTCTTCGAAGGGCTCTTAAGGATCCCCACTGTCAAACAGATCAAATGGACCCTGGGTCAGGGGTGTCTAGATACATACTTCCTGTGGTATAGTCCCTTCCTGTCCTGTGCTTCAACAACTGTGTGTATTAGGCAAAGTTGTCACTGACAGTGAATTTTAGCTGAAGTTACCTAATCCCAAAGGCGTTTTTTTTGGTATATGCATTAAATAAATGGCAGCTGAGTTTGGTCTCACATTCCAAAAAGGATTGCATGGAAGATACAACCTAGAGCATCATTTGTTTCTCCACAAGATTACCTCTTCCTACTACATCCGTGTTAATCTTGCACGGAAGATCAGACATTACTTGCCTCATTAAGGCTCTGCAAGAATTCTGTTCTCAGTTCTTTAAAGGATGCTAAAGAGGGGGAAAAAAAGCCACCACCACCATCAAGTATCTTCTGTATTCTATGTGGGTATGTGCCGGGTAGTGGCAGTGGTACCACCAGTGAATATGGACCTGAATGGTTCAAAATATGGAAAGATGAGTATAGCGCACATAAATAGCTTTGCACAGTTTTCATAGAAGATGGCTCATATGCAAGCCATGAACTTCAGGCCCATATCTGGATTTTTAGCAGAGTTCACTTATATATGGGTTTTGACCTATTCCCTGATGGTGTGAGGAGCCACTAAAGAGAAGTTATAGAAGTATGGGTAACTTGAGTGAAGTATAGAAGTGTTGACATTTCTGTCCTTCAGATGGTGTGCCTGGTAGATAAGGGTTTCCTTCAGATTAAATTGGATTGTGGTTTTTGTTAAATTAAATAGACAGAAAACTTGAAATGATGATAACCTTTTTGTTTCCCACAGCTTCAAACATGCAAACCACATCTTCTTCCCAGTGTATGTATGGAACATCTGGTCAGTTCTCTTCTCAGGAAAATCTGGAGTCCCATGGCCCACCAAGCAGAGATATGGTGTCATCTTTACCACCAATCAACACTGTCTTCATGGGAGCAGCTGCTGGAGGAACCTGAACTGGGAGAGACATGTCAGTGCCTTAAGCTTACTTTCCAAATCCAGACGTTAAGGCTACAATGACAATCCCCTTCAAGTTGGTGGAATAGAAAAGTATTACATATAGGTGTTAAAGGAGCCATTTTAGAGATAGTAGTAGACCTCCACACACAAAAAAATAGCTATATTCAGATTGGGTCCTGCTTGTGAATCGTTCAGGATTGTTCTCACCATTACAGCTTTTCAGTCAGAAATTCAGGGTGAGCAGAAAGAGTCAGTGATTCTTGCAAGAAAGACTAAGTTGTAAAGAAATGATTACATCTATTCCTAATTTATTAAAAATGCTATTTTAGTCTTTCCCTTAAATCTTTTTATATAAAAATGTTTATTTAATGCCTGTGTTGCTCATTATTTATTAGGACCACAGAGTAACTGTTTACTTTCTCTTATTTGACAGATTGTCAAATGTATGTATCCTACCTCCTGTGGAAATGTTTACAAGGTCAATTTTTACTGTTTTAAATGAAACTAAGCCAAATTCTTAAGTTTTTTACTGTTGTGCTCTGGAAAGTCAATTTCAAATGTTTAGTGCCTACTTGTGCAAGTCAAATTCCTCAGGAAATAAATAAAACATATTGTGGGGATTTTTTTTTCTTTTAAAATAAATCACTTTCTCTTAAAATACAACCGACAAACCATGCAAATATCATAAAGTAAATAATTGCAGTAGCCTGCTACTGTGGCTGGATAACTGAAACAAATGAAGCTGTGCCACAAAATGTCATGGGATTTCAAAATTACTTGTGGTATGAGCCCAAAATTTCTCATGGTGGAAATCCACAAAAAAGATGTCCATCAAAATGTATGGGTTTAGGGAAACTGTATATTGAGACCAAAAGCAGGAAAGATGATGAAAAGCATTGCAACTCTCTAGTTCAGCTATTATAATAAAAAAAATATTTTACACGTTCCATGATATTTGGTATACCAACATGCATTTATGTATGTTTCTGGAGAAACCAGGTGAAGAATATTCACTAATGGTATTAAAGGGACAGAGAAGAGAACACACAAAACAAACTTCCTGCTACACATTCATAAAAGAACAGGTATTATTTTATGATCAGATTGTCCCACCATCAGATTCAGATTAAGATTTTAATCCAATCTTCAGATTCGTTTGAGTCTATTTGATGTTCATATTCCCTTTCAGTCCATTGGATATTGTGAAATTAGATAATAGGGTATTTTTGGTGGAAGAAAATGGATGATACCTTGAGGAAGTTTTTATTTCTAATCCTGTATACCTTCCTTTAGTGTTTTCTGTCATGAGAAGTCTGACTGCAGCAGAAAAGTAATAAGGAGCATTGATTGGGCTAGCTCATGAATAATCCTCGATATGAAATACTTTATGCAGCAATGAGACACCATGGTTCAGTAATTGCGATGTAGAAGGCTCCAGCTCAATTGCTTCCTAATTCAGGGTGAAGTCTTACGTTGTGATCAAAAGTGCCATAATGATGCATGAAAGTTTTGGTTTCAACAAAAATTCCCAATGACATGTGGTGGTAAAACAGGCTGCTTAAACAGGTATTTCTGGGGCAATGCTTACATCAAGTGAAGTAAGTACTGCAGAAGAGTTTGTTCTTCGTGATTATTTGGAACAGAATATATTTTCTCTTAAAATTAGTCCTTTATGAGTCAGGTTCCCTGTCTAAGTGGGTCACCTCTATAGTCAGTGAAGAGAGAGAGATCCTTCCCATTCCAAGTGAGATAAGATGGGGGACAGGAGTAACAAAGGTAAGGGATATTTCACTATGGGAAGGGGTATGTCACTATCCCAAAATGGTTGGCTCCCTCTGCTGACAAATGGCATAGCACAAATAATTACTTTAAGCTTGAAACTTCCAGATTGTTGAATTTACATGAGAGCAATATGTAGAATTTAGAGGAAGTAGGCAGTCACTAGCAGACAGGGCCTTAGTCAGACCCTACATAAAAAGCACAGTTCATGGCACATTGTGACTCATATGTCATTTCCAGTCATTTTCTTTTTGTCATGTGAACCGTTTTGCATTGTGGGCTGGGGTTTTTTTGGTGTAAATTACTTTATCTGCACTTTATCTGAGATAAGAAACAATATTCTATCATTAAATGTGCAGATTCTCGTGATGGCTGCAAAACACAGGGTAGCATGAAGTATCACACTGTTGTAAATGGCAGTTTATCAACAGCAAAGAGCAGTAAAAAATATTCTAATATTCAAATAGCCAGTTAAGAGGAATCTGTCATAATGTTGCAGAGCAAAACAAACCCATAATTGTAACTAGCAAAACCAAATGAGGAAATTCCATTTTATGACCCATTAGTTCAGTCAAATACGTGGTTTGATGAATTCAGTAAGTTTTGTCTGTGAGAAATGAAATCGTTCATAGCTTTTGTGGATACCCCATGGGAAGATTTTTACCTTTGGTAGTGTAGCAGCATTGCAGTAAATAATATGAAGAATCAATGGAGTTGCCACTTGGTGGTCTTGTATTACTCAGTTCAGTTGCATTTCTGTGGACCAATATGCTGGTTTTAATATATACGTGCCAGAAAATCTTTGATAAAAAATTGTAGCTGTTGAGTACAATCAATGTCAAATGAATATTGCCTAAAGGAAAAAAAAAAGTTGTTTTTTTTTTTTCTGAGAAGGAAAGATGAAAATTGAAATCCTTTTGATCTATTTGCCAATATCAATGAATTTGAACTGGTGCTAGAAGAGGCAAAAGAGATGGATGAACAGATCAAATCTGCTTCTACTTCTCAAGTAAAACTGATTCTAAACCAAATTATACTGACCAGGATGAAGTAATATTGGAGAAGAACCAATTGTCTTGTGTGCTGTTGTCCCATGCCTAGCAAGCAACACAGAAACTTACGTAGTTCGTGCTGGAAAAGAAGTGCAGTCCTTTGACCCTGAAGACAATTGGGACTATGGGAATTTTGCTCCAGACTCAAAATTAGCGATGAAAGTTTGCATTTACCTTTAAATGTGTAGTGAAAGCACAGTGAAATTACTTGTAAAAAGTAACCCTGTGTATCATTCTGTCATCCTACATGCCAAATGCATCTTGTGGGTCGGATCAGCATCCTGCCAGGTGTCTCCATCTAGTACATGTATGATCAGTGGTCACAGAGAGGAAAGGAGCCTGCAGTGCAGTGGGTAGAGATGAGCCATTTAAGAGAACATTCCATTTAAGGCAGACTATTAGAAGATCACAGCCTCATTGCAGATAATGCTGAATGATAACAGATGCTTTATGCGACGCAGCACAGTGCTGTTTCCCTCAGTGTGGGATCGGAACTGAGTGGACTTCAGGCTTATGGATCAAGCAGTCCAGAGAAGAAATCATGACCAAAAACCCCTGCTCTTAGAGCACTTAAAGAAAAACTGTGGAGATGTTATCACTCTTTGAAGAGCAGGTATTTTACGCTAAAGAAACTAAATCTGTTAGGAACGGGATCAAAGATCAGGCAGAGAAATAGAGGAATCTGTAGAACCCAGAGAGTAACGCTACAGCCCATTGATGTTATACCTCTGGAAAAAGACATGATGCTACAGGCCAGGGGTCCCACAGCACCCAATAGTACTGTGCTAAAATACAAGGGGCCATCAAGCTAAGCTTAAAATTGTTGAGTTGGTGATCAGATCTAGGTGATGCAGGAGTCCTTACCTGGGTTTGATAACTGTGAAGAGATAGATTAGAGTTAGTTTTAGGGCTGATATGCCCCAGGTTGTAAGTAACAGCCTTTTGTATGAGTAGTTTTGGGCTACGGTTTAATTAGAATCACTAATCTAGCTTTAGGGATGGGATTAAATTTGATAACTAGCCTTGGGAATGGAGTCTGGGTGGAGTGGGCTGGTTAGTACAGGCCTTATGACCGTTGCAAATAGGGGCCTGTAAAGCTGTACCAAATTGCCTGTCTGAAACAGGTCACAGGTCTAGTTTTTATGACAAACTGTAGGATTTGGGCATCACTATAACTGGGTTTATGGACTAGGGTGTTGGATGAGCCTGCATAATGCTTGAGCTTGGCTTATGGCTTTTGCCAGTAAGGTCTGCGTAGTAAGTTTAACTTAACATAGCTGATTCAGGAAAATTTGCTGCTTTTTTCTAGTGATGTACTCAGAGTGAAGCTTAAATCTGAGTTAGCTTTGTCATTAGGGTTAACTTCAGGGGTTGGGTCAACATGAAGCTGAGACCATGAGTCAATATTGGATTTAGAAGTGGCCATCAAGCTCGGCTTAATGCTGCTGCTTAGAGGGACCCACAAACTCTGCTTAGTTCTAGATAAAACAGAGTATAGGGAGACCAATATAGATTAATATTATAGTCAGAATTAAGATTTACTTGGGCAGGAACTGGTGAAAGTGAGTTGTTTCTGCATTTAGCAGGGATTGTTGAGCTTATATGAAACCTATTGCCAGACCAGGTGATCTAGTTATGATTCCTTCAAGATCTAGTCTTAAGAGCAGGCTTAAAGTTGATTTGACATGAGAGAGACAAGCCATTTAGGTTAAAGCCAGTTCTACAGGAAACGAGTGAGACTAATTTGAGGTTTTAAGTGATGGAGACCACATTGTCAATCATAATTCTGAGGCTGGCATTGGGGAACTTAAAGTCATGATTGGGGTTTAGGCCAACATGAAGCAATAAATCTGAACTGATTAGGGATGTAAGACCTGCAAGGATCTGTGCTCATTATTGAAATTAGTAAAGTCACTGACATAGTAATTAGCTTTAGCTAAGAGTTGGAATAAAAGGCTAGGACTAAGTTGGAATAAAAGGCTAGGACTAGGTCAGAAATGGTGTGAGCCAGGATCAATGCACATCTAAGCAGTCATTAGCTGAAACTTCTCTGATAGAAACAAGATGCATCTTTCACAGCCTCAGACAAGAATGATATCCTTAATGGAAAAACTCCACATATCTGTAGCCTCTAGAGAGATGCTGCGTCATTGCTAATGATGAGA